GTGCTCCCGCCGCTGCCCTGTGCTGGGCGCGTGTGCCTTTCACTGAAGGGAAAAGAAGGGCGGAACGGCTGTGGGCAGGGGGAGCCGCAGGGGGAGGGCTGCGGTGGGGAGAGAAGGTCCGTTGGGGAGCCTGTGTGGCCTGCAGACCTTCTGCCCCAACCAGGACTCCAGCCGTCTGTCCCACCTTCCTGCCCCGTCCTCCAGCTTCGGCCCCAGTCCACAAACCAAGTACCCGAACCCGCCGTCCTTGTCGTCTCCCCTGGTTTCAAGCTCTCTCATACCCAGCGGGGACAGGAGGCACGTGGATGTTGCTGATGGGATTTGTGGACTAGGAGCCCTTCTCATAGCCCGCTCCAGACATTTCTGCTCTAGCACTTCCCCCCCACCCCGCCTGCCCAAAGCACAAGTCACTCTTGCTACACCTTGGCTCACAGCTCTAAAAGCCACCAACCTCTGTCATCTCAGCTCCCTTTGTCCACCACCCTCAGAAGGCAGCCTTTGTTCAGCTGCCTCCTGGGCTGGTGCTCCTCTCCTGTGAGCTTGCTGCCTGCAGTGTTACACTGGTTTGTGCCAAGGGTGCCTGCAGCTCTCTGCCCTTGTGTTGTAAGCTGCCTGGAGCAGGGGCCGGAGGAGTTCTGTGTTGTGGCCCTACAGCACCGTGCACCAGGGCTCCAGCGTGTGAGAGGGCTCCTGGGCATGATGGCACTGGCTAGATAAGCAGGAAGATGTGCTGAGCTGGAACCTCACCTCGGCAGCTCCGCTTCTTCCCACTCAGGAGCAAAACCATCTCTGCTGCGTGCTGCTTGTTTGCCTGCTCCAGCTGGTCCCCAAGCCTGCGGCCCATAGCTGAGTGAGGCCTGCGTGGGGTGTAGCTCGCTGAAGCACCGGCCGTGTCCTGTCCAGGTTACCAGGGCTCGAGGGTGTCAGGATGATTAGCACACTTGCCTGCTTCATGTTTTGGGGGAGGGTATGTTCACAGTTTCCCAGCTGAATATGCTGAGCCTTTGGACTTTACATTCAAGCAGCATCCATTCAAACTGTGCCCCTGTAAGCACTCCAAAGTGCTGCAATTATTTTTGCAAATACCTCAGGAGCAGAACTAATACTGCCAGGCATTTGTCAACACTCACAATACCCAACTGGCTATTTACATTTATATGCAGAAAACCAAAGCAGGGCTGCAAAACCAGTAGCTGAATGCTTCACTCCTTGCCTTTCGTTTGCCAAAACGCCTGGTACCATGAACATTTTGCCTCTGAGACATTTGCTGCCATTTCTTCAACAATTTTCCTTAGCTAAAGTTCCCAGTCTATAGCGTCCCTGAAGTGACTGTCTGTGCTGGAGTCTTTTCTTTCTTTTTGGAGACACTTCAGCCGCCCTGCTCAGCTCTTTTCTCCTATCGCCTCCAAACTGTTGGACTTTTCCTCCTTCACGGATGCCTCTGTTGTGTCCCTGATTTGTCTAGCTCAACATAAATACTTCTCGCCAGTCATCCAAGGCCTTGGAAATGATCCAAAGACTTGCCTATTAAGATGCAGTTTGGGCTTTCAGTCTATGAATCTGTGGCAATTGCACAAACAATCCTTACACAAACACCATGGCTGGATAGATTTTAATTTTAACCCAAACTGTATATTGGTATGTGCTACTTGGAAGTGAGGAGGCTAATCAAGAGAGATGAAATGATAGCTACTGGTGTTAACAGTATGCTTTCTATGGAATAAGTGCTTTGCTTTCAGTCCCAGCCCGCGCTTGGTGCTGGAATGCATGTTAGGCTCCAATCTGGCTGTTACAGTTCCACTATTGCTCCAGGCCTTGGGCTATTTCACCAGCTGGTGAAGGGAAACAAAACCTGTAGGTTCTCAAACCCTTTGCACATGACTTGTGTTATCATCTACCACCCAGAGTCAAATCAAAGCAGCCAGCAATCCCCAGAGCCTTCTCTTGTCCCAGGCAGCTGCAGAGGCTTTAAGTTTTAACCCCCATCCACAGTAAGTAGCACTGGCTCTTATAATCTCTTATGTGAGATTATAAACTCCTTGGGGAAACCTTCATTTCAATGCACTCTGCTGGAGCAGCCAGCTAAAGAACAGAGACTTGCACATCTCTGATTTTTGCAGGTCTTAGCTTTTCTAGCTCGACACTCTGCCATTCTCCACTTATTCTTGCTGCCCCCTTCCCCCAGGCGTATCCCCTGTCTCCCCAGCTTGGTAGCCCATTTGCTGAGCATGTCTGGAGAAAAAAAGACCATTCCTGGCTGCTGTCACCCAAGGGAGAGAGGTGTTTAGGCCTGTTCATGGTCCGGGCCTGCTCCCTGCATGCTCACCCACTGGTCTGTCCAATGCCCTGGCATGCCCCTGGCTCTGGGTATGACCAGCCATTCCCATCTCAGTGGCAAGCCTGGGCCACTCGCCTGGATTCCCACTACAGCTTGCTAAATCCAGCCTGGTGTGAACTGCTCAGGGGCCCACATGCTCTGCTGGGGAGAGGGTCGCTTCCTCCACCTCACCACCCTTCCTGCCCAGCTGCCCCAGGCCTGTTGCATCCAGCCCCAGCCATGTCCAGCCAGGAGCATGGGACTGCAGTGGGCTCCAAGCGTGCGTGGACATGCCGTCTTGTGTGCATGTACTTGTGCAAGCATGGCTGTGAGCAGCGTGCTTGATGGGCGAACACATCCATTGCAGTGTCTGTGTGCCTTTCTCACATTCTCTGCATACAGGAAAACAAGCAGGCTGAACTCAATGAGACACAAAGACATAGAATTGAAAAGGAAGAGGCAGAAGAAATTAAAAGTTACTGGAGCTTTGGAAGCAGGCAGGGGAGGGGATGGATGGGAGCTGACTCATCCATCTTCATCAGCTGCAATGTGGATGATTGCAGAGATGATTGCTGGTTGCCCTTGGGCTGGGTCCTGGCAGGGTGGGGATGCAATGGGGTGACTGTGTTGCCAGGGCACCAGCAGTGTCCCTGGTTTTGAAGAGGGAACCAGGAGCAGACAGTCACAAGAGCAGGGTGCTGGAAGCAGAGCAGAACACCAGCCCAGACACTAGTGGGCACTGGGATAGTGGTCCACGGCATGTTGCAGGTTGGCAGTGTGCTGGCAGAGTACAGCCATACAGACATATGGGAGGGGTGTGCTGGATAGCATGGTAATGCCTGGGAGAGCATGATGGAGCAGCCCAAGGTGCTGGTAATATAGCAACAAGCCAGGCTGCTGGTGTCTAGAAACACCGAGCTGGCAATGCTGCTCAAACAGGGTGCTCTGAGCTAAGCGCTGGCCAGGTAGTGACAGAGTGCAGAGTCCTTCTCTACCAGCTACTGCGTGCCATGTTCTCAAAATGCTGTGAGCTTGCCAATAATTGGGCCCTGCAGACACCTAGGAGGGATGTGCTGCCCATGATAAAGCATGGGGAAACTGAGGCAGGCGTGAAAAGGCTCCCCACAGCACAGGGAGGAGCAGAGGCTGGGCAAGGTGGGGAGAAGATGCTATGTGTGCAGGGCAACGTGGCTGGTCACACCTTGTCCCTGTACTCTGGAATGACTGGGGATGTCACCCACATGCACGTGCCTCGGTTTCCCCAACAGAAAGTGGAGACGCTTCCCTGTGGGGTCAGTGCTTCCAACCTTTGAGGTGGACCCTACTGAATTCACATTCCCTGCTCCCTATCCTGCTCTGCTGAGGGAGGCTCCCAGGTGGGTCCTGCAGGGTTCCAGCCTGGGGACAAGTGCAGTGAGTCCTCCCCATAGCACTGCCCTCATCTCACCCTGGAGGCACCTCGAGCTACATAGCAGGATGGTCCGTGGGTCCCAAGTCCCACAGCAGGCTCCATGCAGATGTCATTCTCTGCCTGTGAGAGCCACCGTGCACTTTCAGGCTGAGCTGGACAGATAGACAGTCCTTCTAGGACAGGGAGCCTTGAGGTGCCTCTCTGTTCCCTGCACTGAATCAGTCTGGACTGGATACTGGGCAGAGTCCCCTGGCTAAGAGACATGTCAGGTCTTCACTACAGAGCAGCTGGAAGAACCCAGAGATCCTCCCTTTGCACTCCTCAGCCATCCCAGGACCCTGCGAGTGCCACATGCTGTTCCGGGGCTGTTCTGGCCCTGAAGCCAGCTATGTTCCTGCTCTGAGCAATGTCCCACTCTGTGAGAAAGGACTCGGGAGCCAACTGTTGAGCAGGGACCTTTCAAGGCCTTGCTTTCTGTGTTTGCTGAGACCCCGCCATCATAGAGCCCACTTGGCTTTGCAGCTGAACCACTGGCACTGGGATTCTCCTGGCACGACTACTTCCCCAGCCGATCATGTACTAATGCTGCCAATGCCCAGCAGTTGTCCTCTGGGAGACATCCCATTCACTTCCCTGTGGCTGCTCATTCCTACATCCTTTGTGCTCACTGAAACTGTGCTCTGAAACACAGCTTCTTCCTGGCTTCTCCTTGAACGTTCTTATCAGGGCTAGGAGCTGTTACTCCAGCCCATTCCCTCCCCTGCTTGGCTGGAGATGCCAAGCGATTAAACCAGGTGACATCTAGCACCACTGAGATATCAAAGGGATGTCACCCTGGGAGAAGGAGAAAGGGGACATTTCTGGCCCCCCCAGGATCCCCATCCTCTGCAGCTCCCTCCTCAACATATGGTCCAGTCCCATCACACCAACTTGGGATGATCCTGCTACTGTTCCTCCTCCCGCAGCTCTGAGGGCCCCATGTAGAGAGAGGCAGGGGTACTGGACATGACCAGCCTCCTGGACAACCAGGGCCACTGCACCCCGCTGTCCCTAAGGGCCCCCCTAGGTGGGGGACTCCCACAGTCATAGACACCCATTGTCATTGGGGGCACAATCCTGCACCTATACACTGCATGCCATGGCCTGGGGCCTTCCTGGGTCTGAGGCTAGGGCTGGGGCTGGAAGCAGCAACTCTCAGCTGACATTACCCCTCCAAAACATCTGTGGGGCGCTGGGGACATGAACTGAGCCATGAGCCAGGCTGGTCCCTGCTCCTCACTGCAGTGTGAGCATGGCAGGGCACATGCTATTTATCATAAACCGACTGCACGCTCCCATTCTCCCTATCTGGGGACCACAGAGCTTCTCAAGGACCGATTTCTCCAACACTCTACTTCCAGGGGGTATAAATGGTCCCAGCATTTTCCCATGCAGTGCTCCACCCACACACACAGGCACACAAATACCCACAGAGATGGCCAGCCCTGCCAAGGCTCTGCAGGTGGATGGAGCTGGAGGTACCACCCAGTGCAGCTGGAATTCAGGCCATGGCAGAGAGAGTCAGATAGGCCTGGGGTGAGAAAAGAGGCAAGTGGGACTTCCAAAGGGAGATAGGGTCTTTATTACTAACGCAGCACATGATGAGGAATTGCAGTGCCAGGCCAGCTGGTTCCCACCCTGGTCAGGGGAATGGCTGCATCTTGCCTGCAGGGTGCTCCAAGTCCAGCCATTGTCTTGAGTCAGGCCAAGGCCTGTGACATCCAGCTGCCCTGCTCAGCCTCTCACTGCAACAGGGCTGCTGTCTGGACACGATCGGACTGCCAATTTAGGGTGTGGGTGCAGGTGGACCTGGCTGTTGCAGGCTCCAGGCTGGGAGTCTCCCTGCCATGGGGCTTGTCAGAGTGTGATGGTGACAGAGGATGGTGCGAGGCAGAAGAGGATGCTGTTTCTGGGATGCTGGTGTAGAGCATGCTCCCTTCTCAGTAGATCCCAGTGCTATGCCTGCCCCTCACCCCTTGCCCCTTACACCAGAGAGCCCAGCTGAGCTGGGCTGAGGGTCCCTCCCCAGCTGAGGGACCTCAGCCCTGGAGGTATCTGCGTGGGCCAGGCAGGGAGCAGCCACAGGGTCCTTTTGAGCCATGGTCAGGGTTTGGCACTACAGCCAGCACTGGCCAAGGCACAGGGCTGCCCACTCAGGGGTCCTGCTGCCACAGGGAGATGTGATCCTGGGCTGCAAAGCGAAATGGAGAGTTAGTGCTCCTCACGCCACGGAGACCTGAGGGGTCTCAGCATAACTGGCTGAGGGGGACAGTCCCAGCAGAGCTGGAGGCTGGCACCTCCAGGGCTCTGCACCTAGATGAAAATGCTCTGGCTCACCCAAACTGCCTACCCCTTCCTTGTGGGGGAAGGAGACGGGCACAGCACGAGGGGCAGCAAGGGCTACCAGGCCACTCACCGAACTGGCAGATGTACCGGTTTCGAGTCTTGCAGCGCTGGTCATTCCAGTTGAAAGCAGCTGATGCCTGCATCTCCACACAGTTCCCAAACCTGCAGCCCCAAGCAGGTGAGGGTGGTAAGGCAGGAGAGGCCCAGGAAAACATCAAGGATGGGAGCCATGGGCTCCAAGTGAGACACAGCCTCAGCAGAGACACTGCACAGTGCTAGACCTGCTCTGTCTCTGGTGGGAGCTAGAAGGGCAGGATCTGGCCAGGGCCATGGCCAGGCACTTACCCCTGGTTGTCTGGCTGTCCAAAAGCAAAGCTGGTGAAGGAGGATGGCTCGCCTGTGTCCCAGCGGAATGAGGCCTTGGATGTTTTGTAGGTGAGACCTGCAGGAGAAAGAGCCGGGATGGCAGAGCCTCCAGCACCTGGGATATGCAGCAGCTCTGTGCCTCTGCACCTGCCCCGGTGAACCCTCCACCAGACTATCCGCACAGCACTGACGTGGCACTGCAGGCAGCTGCACCGGCTTGGGAAGACAGCCCTGACGCCCAAGTACATCCAGGCACCTGCAGGGATGCTGCTTGGCCCAGGGGAGCTGGACTCAGCTCCTCTCTCCCCTGTGCCCCTTCAGAGGGTAGCGCCATGGCCTAGGTAACTCACCGATCCAGAAATTACGGGTCTCAAAATCTGTGTCTGTCACCCTGTTGCTGGTTTCCAGACGGCTGAGGTAGAAGGCCAGGATGTCCTGGACTTTCTGATTTCTGATCTGGGCCAACATTGCCCCTTTCTCCTGGAAGGAAGCAAGCGAGTCGGCCAGAAGAAGTTGGCTCAGATCTGTGCTAAGCAGCCATGAGAGGCGCTACCTGCTACTCTGCTTCCTAAAGCATGGAGTGGGTCATGCCAGCTACTGGAGCAAACGGGGCTGTGCAGGAGGACCCGTGCTGGGTTGGTGCTCAGACAGCTTGGGGGCATACCTCCCCACTGTTATAGGGATGGAACCCATGTCCCCTCTTTCACCTCCAGGCAAATGACCATCAGGGCACCTGGACCAAGCCATTGGAGGCTACAAACCCCAGGTGACACCTTTCAGCTGCAGAGATCCACAGAACCAAGGGGGTGGAGCTGCCTGAAGCTTTAAGAGCAGATCTCAGTTTTGCCACTAGTTTTGATGGAAGCATCCAAAGTGTTAGGTCCGTGTTAGGGGAGATGTTTATGCTCCACGTGTGTCAGTGAGCAGAAATGTTCTCATTTTAGTGAAAATAGCCCAAGCTCAAAACTGACACACTTTGTAACTGGGCAAGACCTTTTGCTTAGCTGGGAACAAGGCTTTTCTGGTTTGCTGAGAAGATCTTTTGCTTAGCTGGGAACAAGGCTTTTCTGGTTTGCTGAGATTTACTCAAAGGCTTCAGGTCATTTTGTCCAAGACTTGGCCGTTTACAGGGCTCTGACTGTCGTGACAGCTACCATAGGGCCCTTCTCACAGCTGCTTGCAGAGACACTAACCCAGCAGTTGGTAAAACATGTCAGATGTCAGGGATTCTTACAAAACTGAGAACAAAGCAGAGAACTTCATGTATAAACACCAGACTCATCCTGGCTGGAGGTGTTAGCCTGCCATCAGCCAGACTTCCTCTGATGCCGGGGGTACGAGGCTCATGCTGCGACTCAGGGCTCCTCTCCTGCCCTGGTCTGCCTGGCATTGGAGCCCTGCGCCCATTGGCATCCTCATCATGTTGTATCACTACAGAAACTGGTTGGTTCATTCCTCATTCCCCACTGATCTCCTTGCCTAACTGTTGCAGTTGCTCAGAGGCCCCAGAGCGGGCCAGAGCCCACCCTGCTCTGATGAGGGTCAGAATCAGCTTAATAAAAATCAGCTTGGTAAAAGGGTGGCTATAAAGGGCCCATCAGTCCCTCTGTGCAAGGATGAGGGTGCAGGTCACCCGTGGCTCTCAACCTTGGTAGCAGGCACAGAGGGGAACGCAAGAGACACCCATGTGCGGCTGCCCCATAGTATCACAAAACTTCACAGACCTGGTCATATCATCGTCACCTACTGGAATCGGAGGCTTTAAGGAGGATGCAGGGAATGGGCTGACCTCAGGGCACTTCATCCTGACACCTGTGGGGCACCTTAAACTGGGTGCTTGCACCATAACCACTGTGCCTGGCTCCCTGCACGCTGCCCAGCACGTCCCTGGGCACTGGGCTACCCCCATGGCTTGGAGGGAGGCACGGACACAATCTGGGAAGTACTCTGGCAGTGCCAGCATCATTATCTCTTATAATTGCCAAGGCAGATCCTGCCGCCCTGCCAGCAAAGGACGGTAGCCAGGAAATCCCAGCCAGGACCATATCCTATCCTCACATGGCAGTCACCCCCAGACTTTGAAGCTGTCCTGGTGGGTAGGATCTCTGTGGCACAAAGCTGGGGGCTCACCTGGCACTTTATTTTGGCTCCATAGTATGTGTCGGCCTCAGGGGACACCATGAAGCAGTTGCCATCTATCCTCACGTCGCAGGCGTGGAAGGGGAACTGAATCTTCGCTGCAGATACAGGCAGGTGCAGATGGGTCCCTGCCCGCCCTGGTGCCCTGTGTGCCAAGCAGGGCCCACCAGTCCCAAGCATACCCAGTTTAGCCCTGTTGAGCCCAGCGCCCGGGGTCCCTGCATGGAGATCCTTGCCGTGACCCCAAACTGGCTGGCCTCAGCAGTACAGGCCAGCCCAGACTCACTTCCGCACTCAGCACCACTGTAGCCAATGTCACAGAGGCAGGAACACTCCTCCTTCCTGAACTTCCCATGGAGGCACTGCACACTGCACTTCACTGCAAAAAAGACAGCATTAGCTCTGGCCCAGCCTGCGGCAGGGCCAGCCTGGCTCGGAAACCCTCATCTGCCCCAGCACACAACACTGCAGGTCACGGCGTCTCTACAACGCACCACATGACGTACTGACTGCGCACTGCACACACATGTATTGCACTACCATGTACACAAGTGCACCGAACTGACCACGTGCACTGCAGTGACTGCATACTGAACCGGTGGCTTACACTGCACCGACCCCACACACACACTGAACAAACCATGCACACTGCACTGACCGCACACGTATGTACTGCACTGACAAACCATGCAGTTCACCAAACACGCTACACTGCAATGACCATGTACATGCCTGTACTACCCTGACCACACATACACATACACTAACACCAACCACACACACGTACACTGCATTGACCACAAACACATGCAGTGCAGCAACCAAGCACATGCATGTACATGTCAGTACGCACATGCAGAACATGCATGCGCTACTCCGGCCCCACACGCATGCACTGCACAGACCACACACATGCCTGCACTGTGCTGATGGTGTCCTGCTCATCCTTGTCTACCACGCCCTTGCCTGAGGAGGAGAGGCAAGGGCAGGCAGGCATTGTACGGCGTGCCTGCCCCTCTCACCTTGGCAGTACCTGCCCGTGTATCCTGGGGGGCATGTGCACTGGCAGCTGCTCATGTTGAGGTACCCGCTGTTCCTGCAGGTCATGCGACATGGGTTCCTGGGCACCTCTGGGCAGAGAGAGAGCACATACACACGCGCAACTGTCAGGGGCCAGCTTTGTGCCTGAGGCTGGGGTATGTGTGGTGCCCCAGCACAGCACTGGCCATGGGGGCTCTGGGGACTCACCGCAGAGCCCGCCACCGTGGTCCCAGGATTTGAAGCAGCCAGAGAGCCCAGCAGTACAGAGTGAGCACCAGGCCCCTTTCTTGTAGGGGACAATGGTCTTCCCGTTCATCTCCCAGTTGCCCCTGCCAAGAGACATAGAGGGTGGCCATGTGGTGTGGCCCTGCCACGCGTGGTGGGGCTCTGGGGTCGCCCACGTGGGCAGCAGGGCCACAGCAAGGGGCAGCAAGGCAGAGCCAACCAGAGCCCACCACGCGGCAGCTGGCCATGGCTCCGCCCACACACTCAAGCCCCCCCCACCACCGCACAAGCCTTGCCCACCCCTCCCCGA